TGTTGTACCCTTCATAAAGTCTAGGCTCATGTTTGGGTAACTATAACTGGCTGGGGAGAAACATATTGGAAGCTGCATTCATCTGGAACTATTCATAACTACACCCGAACTGCAGCTATAATCACTAAAGCTCAACAGTTTGGGAGGTACCATAACTACCAGTGTTCGTAACACAGTTGATGAAGTCCCTTACTTCTGCAGCTTGTAGTGAAGCAGGGGGTACCTCAACCAGGTCTCCCCAGCTATAGGGTGGTAAGTCTGGGTCCGCCACCTAGCTCTCCTGCTCTTCTTGTAGGGTATATTGGGGCCAAAATGAGCTGGTAATCCTGCTCCAGGTCCCATTACATGGTGGCCAGATGGATCAGGTCTGGCCCTAGGTCGCCAGCTATAGGAAGATCCAGCAGGGCTTCCCTATAGTCATGCATGTCCCAAAATCGGGACTCTTCAGCACTCCTGAACTCCGGTTTGGCAAAGGCCTCCGATAACAGGCCATGGCCATCGTAATCCTTTCCCTCGGGCCTGTCATGCTCAGCCATCCAGGGAACATGCTGAATTACATACCAGCATAGTGCCTGGTAGGCGTCGTTGAGCCATAGTTCCTTCCATACCAGTCTCTCGAGCTTCGTCACCCATGCATCCAGGGGTTTCTCTCCCAGAAGAGGCATCCGCAGTGCCACTCGTACATGTCGCTGGGGAGACTCTCACCCCCGCCTACACTGTACACCCTCCAGGGCCTCATCCCAAAGCTCCTTTCTGGTGACATCTCTGTAGTCCAGTATGTTCTCCTCTGATACAAACCCATCCTGTTGGGCCAAGTGGTGCTGCAACCTCCAGCAAAACTCCTCTTCATATGCTAACGCTGTCCGGGGACTAGCTGGTTCCATACCACTGCAGACAGGGGAGCTGTACGAATACTAGCGCTGCCCTCAATTAGAAATTCATAACAATTCCAGTGTCTCCAGGATGCTTCTATACTCACTAGGAAGCCACCGCTTGCCACCAGATTTGACGGACCGCCTGGCACCCCGACTGGATGCCTCCACCAATCACTGCTTCCTAGTACCTCCAGGTACTTCCAAGCACTCCACCAGACACCACCAGCACTGTACACCAGGCCCGGACTGGCCATCGGGCACACCGGGCAAATGCCCGGTGGGCCGCGATGGCCGTGGGGCCGAGGCCGGCAGGGAGATCACAGAATCTCCCCTGCCAGCCCCTGCAGGGCCAGCGCTATCCGAGCGCCAGCCCTGCTGTGTGCCTCCATGGGCCGGTGGGGAGATCATAGATCTCCCTCACCGGCCCACAGGCACTGTTACAGGCGGCCGCAGGCTGGGGAGGGAGGCAGGAGAGAGGACCCGGCAGAGCTCTAACAAGCAGCTCCGCCGGGTCCTCTCGCGGGATTCTGAGCGTTGCCGCGGTTACCACGGCAACGCTCAGATCTCGCGAGAGTGAACTCTAACCTGCAGGCTGGAGTTCACTCTCAACCCTGGACCACCAGGGAAGCATGACAGCATGCCCCCCCCCCCTCATGGCAACACGGCTCCCCCCCCTCCCAGGCTAAAGGTAAGGAGAGGGGGGGGCATAACTTTTTAAAAAATTTTTATTAATAATTATTAATTATTATAATATTATAATTATTTATAAAATAAAAAAATATATATATTTAAAATAATTACCCTAACAGCCCCCCCAGACACACACATCCCCCCCCAGACACACAGCCCCAGCACACAGCCCCCAGACACACACAGCACCCCAGACACACACACACACAGCACCCCAACACACACACACAGCACCCCCAGCAGACACACACACAGCACCCCACACACACACAGCACCCCCCCACACACACACAGCACCCACAGACACACACACAGCACACAGCACCCCAGACACACACACAGCACTCAGACAGACAGCACCCTCACTCCCACACATATACAGCACATTTATATTATATAAAATAACCCTCAGTGAGTTAACAGACAAATAAAATTAGAAACCCAGAATGTGACGGCAGATAAAAACACCCTCACACACAGCACTCCTCTTACACAAACACGCTGCGCACCTCACACATACAATACGTCCAAATATATTATATATACACATGCACCATACACTTTCCTGGCCCTTTTGTCCTCTGGTATCCCACTTGTGGAGACACCAGAGACAATTTAAAAGCAAACACAGCGCAAGCATGTTATTACATTTGCTTGCGCTGCGCAGAACAAATACAGGGCCTTTTTCTAAAGCCAGAGCTCTTCAGCGGGGCTCTGCGCATTGAACCAACATGCTCACTTTGAGAGGGGGTGTACTTGTCATTAGTGATGACAAACACACCCTATCTGGCCCTGCCCGCTTCTTGGGGGGCCGCTCTAATTGAAAAATGCCCGGGCCTAATTTTTTTCCCAGTCCGGCCCTGCTGTACACCCTTAGCCGCCCACCCTGGACCCAAGACCAGGATCCAGCTTCCAGTGGGTAGACCTCTCCTACTCCAGAGATTATAGCAGGATAGTGTAACGGATCGCCTGGCACCCCGACTGGGTACCTCCGTTAAAGGATGCTCCTAGCGCTTCCTGAGGACTCCAAGCACTGCAGCAGACACCACAACCACCGAACCGGAGAAGCATATGAATCCTCTCAAGCATATGAATGCTGTAGACAGTTGAATAGGAACCATACGAATAGGTTTACTCTCCTAGCAGTCAAACTGGAACAGCATACAATAAATCCTTCCCCCAATAATGAGGCGACACTTCACTTTGAGGGTTAAAACAGGAACTCTCTGTACTGTCACATACAGTCTCTTTTATTCCCAATCCACAAACATAGTACAGCCCACAGGGCGTTACAAAACAACCAATCAATCCGTACAATACACCCAGACACTCCCACACAAAATCCTCCCCTCTGCAGGTGATATGATTACTGAACACAATGGCTAATCTCATTATCACCGGCAGAGGAATACAGTTTTTACACAATATTTCTAACTTCTAAAATATACATGTCACAAACATAAAACATACATTTTCATAATCAATCCATTCAGGGGAACAACATATTAAAAAATGGCACAAATCAGACCAAGGGTTCAAAAGTTAAGGGAAAGTCCTTTGTGACTAAATGAAGCATGGCTTTCTGGCTCAAACCAGTTTCAGAGTCTTCTATCCTGGAGAGTAATTCAATTATCTCCCAGGATAGACACAAGACTCCATTAAGCACATAGTTGCAAAAAGACACAAAACACTTTAAAATACATAAAGTCACATTTACACATAACACACAGACATTTCACATATCCCCAGATAGCTGGGATCTGAGTGCACATTATTAGATGAATGGCACTCAGATCACACAAATAAGCCTTTCTGCAGGGGAAATAAACGGTTTAACCTGCAGGGCCATAGTCAAAAGGGAGCAGGCGAGCAACCAGGCTTCTCCAGTTCACAGTGGCGAGGTTGGTTTCGCCACACTTCTTCCCTTTACCAACTAGACTAACAGGGTATCTGACCTCCTGCCGGTCAGTGCCCTGGTTAGTCCAGCAACCCACCCACAAAACAGAAACAGCAGTACAGCCCACCCTCAATAACTGGTTACTACACCTGGGTAGAGGAGAACTTTGTCCATGTCCAGGTGCCTCACCACGACTGTGTGGGCAACTGTTAGGCTGCCTTGGTGGGTTGCTGAGTGGGCAGAGACCAGCGTACTCTGCCCTGATGCCAGTGCTACCACGGAAGTAGCCTGGTGGGAGCCTGGTTGTGGGAGGGAGAGACCGACTGTCTCCCCTCTGGATACACTGCTCTGTGGCTGGGGAACAGGACCGACTGTCCCTACCCCTTGTGCTGTAAGTGCAGAGACTACAGTCCCATCTGCACTGTTGGGGGGTGTAACATCTCCCCTTGCTGGGTTAGGCTGCCGCTGGAGAGGGGGTGTAACAAGCTCCTCTCTCTGAACTGTAAACTGCCGCTGGGGAGAGGGGGTATCAGGCTCCTCTCCCTGACACTCTCTCTGCTGGTGGAGAGGGGGACCAGCTGTCTCCCCTTTCATTATTTTGTCCTGTGGTTGGGGTGCGAGACTGACGGTCTCTGCTCCCTGCAGGACACTCTGCCGCTGGGGAGGAAGGACGGCACCTTCAGCTCCCTGGGGTACACACTGCCGCTGGGGAGGAAGGACTGCACCTTCAGCTCCCTGGGGTACACACTGCCGCTGGGGAGGAAGGACTGCACCTTCAGCTCCCTGGGGTGCACACTGCCGCTGGGGAGGAAGGACTGCACCTTCAGCTCCCTGGGGTACATACTGCCGCTGGAGATCTGGGCCGACCGCCCAGCATCCCTGTAGGGCCGGTTGAGAGACCGCCGTCCCATCTCCACCTGCCATCTGTGGGTCTTCCCAGGACCAGTCTGTGAGGTCCCTCAACATTTGCGAGTAAGGACCACCTGCTTCCGCACCTGGCAACTCCGGCTGCTGCTGGGGATCTGGGCCGGTCCCATCTCCACATGCCTGTTGTGGTTCCTCACAGGACCAGTCTATGAGGACCCCTACTTCGGGTTCCTGCGGCCGCCTCAGGGGGAGACGGCTAGCCTCCTCGGATGCAGCCTCTACTCGGCTGCTGTAACACTCCTTCAGCTGAGCATACTCTCTCTCTTTCGCCAGCCGGAATTCTCGGGCCAGCCTTGTGTTTCGCTCGGCCGTGACCTGGTTCCAGATCACCCGGCGTACCTCCATGGGTAAATCATCCCCATACTGGGCCACTCGCTGCCTCACCTCGGCCATCCAATCATCGCCAGAGCCTTCCATACTTGTCTGCTCCAAGTCGCTGGATACCTCTGCTCCCAGGGTCGCTGCACGTGTGCTAGCGTTGCCCTCAATTTGTAAATCCAAACGAACTGTGTCTCTGAGCTGCTTTACCTCGCACTAGGACGCCATCCCACCACTTGCCACCAATGTAACGGATCGCCTGGCACCCCGACTGGGTACCTCCGTTAAAGGATGCTCCTAGCGCTTCCTGAGGACTCCAAGCACTGCAGCAGACACCACAACCACCGAACCGGAGAAGCATATGAATCCTCTCCAGCATATGAATGCTGAAGACAGTTGAATAGGAACCATACGAATAGGTTTACTCTCCTAGCAGTCAAACTGGAACAGCATACAATAAATCCTTCCCCCAATAATGAGACGACACTTCACTTTGAGGGTTAAAACAGGAACTGAAGTGCTGGCACACCCAGCCTGGTTTTTATTACAATCCACAAAACATAGTACAGCCCACAGGGCGTTACAAAACAACCAATCACATCACAGTTACATCCCACATATTCCCTCCCCTTATCCTGAGAGGAAACTCAATTACACATACAGTTAAAACATACTTTCTACCCAACTTTCATAACTCTAAAACCATACGTCACATTCACATAAAATTACATATTCACAATCAATCCATTCAGGGGAACAACATATTAAAAAATGGCATGAATCAGTTAAAACATACTTTCTACCCAACTTCATAACTCCAAAACCATACATCACATTCACATAAAATTACATATTCACAATCAATCCATTCAGGGGAACAACATATTCAAAAATGGCACAAATCAGACAAGGGGTTCAAAAGTTAGTAAAAAGTCCTTGTGACTAAATGAAGCATGGCTTTCTGGCCCAAACCAGTTTCAGAGTCTTCTATCCTGGAGATAAGTAATTCAATTATCTCCCAGGACAGACACAAGACTCCATTAAGCACATGGTTGCAAAAAGACACAAAACACTTTAAAATACATAAAGTCACATTTTACACATAACACACAGACATTTCACATATCCCCAGATAGCTGGGATCTGAGTGCACATTATTAGATGAATGGCACTCAGATCACACAAATAAGCCTTTCTGCAGGGGAAATAAACAGTTTAACCTGCAGGGCCATAGTCCAAAGGGAGCAGGCGAGCAACCAGGCTTCTCCAGTTCACAGTGGCGAGGTTGGTTTCGCCACAGATAGCTTTTACAAAAGCTAGTAATATAGCTGGTATAGCTGTTCCCTAAAATCACGAGATGAGGCTCTGTGTTGAGGGTGAAGTTGAACTGGTCTAATGGGAGCCACATGCAGCCTTATATGCCACTCCCAATGCAAGGGGTCTCTTACAACATTCCCCACTGGACCTGATAGGGGACTGTCACAAAGTACACACTGTAATTACATCGACTCTCAGGTCCAGGACACTCCCACACAAAACAAGATAATCCCTCCCCTGTGCCTGAGAGATAATTGAGTTAGGAACTGGACTAAACTCAATTATCTACCGGCACATAAAACATACATTTTACAATAACCCGAAAGTACCCCCAAAACACATGGAAACCCCACAAAAGTCATATCCTCTGATAGCCCCAATCTGGGGGACCAACATATCCAAAAATCACCCAGATTGATTCAGGCATTCGGGATTTCCATGGAAGTCATAATTTTGACCAACCGTGCACATGGTCCTATGCAGGGCAGGCGCTACCTGTTAGGCGGACTAGGCAGCTGCAGCCGCCCGAACACTCTGTAGAGAGCCTCAGGCGGCTGCAGCTTTGCCCAGGCTGGTGCGTCCATGAGGGCGCACCGCCCGGACGCAGCATGAGGAGAGGGGCTGACAGGAGGGAAGCGCTCAGCGCTCCCTCCTGTCACTCCCTCACTCTAGCGTGGCCGAGCCCTGTAAGGTCTGCAGGTACAGGGAGCATCTGTCTCCTGTACCCGGCTGGACTAACACTGGGTGTGCACTTCCTTTTAGTCCTGCCGGGTACAGGAAACAAAAGCTCCCTGTACACGTGGACCATACAGAGCTCGGCCATGCTACAACAGAGGTGGGGGGAGAAAGAAATTGACAGGGGAGGGAGGGGGAATGAGAGTGGGGAAGGGGAGGGGAGAAGAGAGTGACAAGGGAGGGGGGAGAGATTGACATCCATCACACACACACACAATCACACACAATGCACCCCTTACACACAAAGACAATGCACCCCTTGCACAGAGAAAAACACACAATGCATTACACACACAATGTATTACACAAACAGACACAAACACAGACACACACACACAAGCAATGCAACCCTTACACACAATGCATCCCGTACACACACAGAAACACACAATGCATTCCTTAGACACACTCAATGCACCCCTTACAAACACTCAATGCACCCCTTACAGACTCACACACTGCATCCTGTACATACACAGAAACACACCTTGCAGCCCTTACACATACAAACACAGATTCACACAATGCATTCCTTACACACATATCAGGACATCCCCTACACACTCCACCCCCTGTGAACAAACTCATTGGTGGAACATGAAGGTGGACCCTGGGACCCAGACCTTGAGCTGTGTAAAGGGCCCCCAAAAATGGAGCTGCTTCCCGTTCTCCCAGAACATTGATTTTTGTGACCACAGTTACAAACAGCCTCCAGAGAGCCTGTTCTACACCAGACCAGTGGAGCCAGACTGCAGCTAGAGCCCATCATCACCCTCATCTGGTTGTAAGTAGGAAATCTAGTATATTATTCGTGGCACTAATCTCTAATTTACCTCACATTAAAGAAACACTATAGTCCCCAGAACCACTGCAGCTTAATGCAGTGGTTCTGGTGTCTAGCCTGTCCCTGCAGGCCTTTTAATGTAAACACGGCGGCACTGCAGCACTGGCGTTAGTTAACATGGCAGATCATATGGGTGGGGCATTGTGATGTCACATGGGGGGGCGGCAAACTTTACTTTTGCCTAGGGCGGCAAAAATCCTTGCACCGGCCCTGGTCCTATGCCCAAAACAGTTCCAGGGAATTGGGGCCAACGATC